ATCACATGAAATCTGTTCAGAATTTTACGTAGAATCCAAATATGCAATCACATACAGGGTGTTCTATTCTAAATAGCGATTTTGCCACTGGTTAAGAGTAGAAGCGGCAACTCCGCATAAACAAAAATATTTTTAAAGTGTAGATTACGGTCGTTTATCCCGGTTGCCAAATTTTCAAAATGATCCGCTTTTTAGTTTTCCATAAACGTCTAATACGCCATCCACTGTGGGACACTCTGTATTAACCAAGTAGGAATGGAGAAGCTAGATAGAACTATTACATTCTTATCTGTAAATTTATGTGAAATAAATCCATATTTTCACATGGAATACCTACTAGGTAAGTTACCAACAAGGACAGGTATCTTTTACATGAAATTCCAGGTAAAAACTACAGTGCAAAATGTAAAACTACATAATTAACATGGTAATTTCACAACTCTTTAACGTGTTTTTGCTGTAAAGTCAATTTCTTTAAATGGCAGCACTAGTACATTTCCATGATTTCAGTATATCAGCTACGTAAAATCACTTAGTAGTCCAACAAACAGATACATAGACAACAATGTAAAAGTACAGAAGTATTCTAGCAATGTATATTACTTGCCTTTTCTGGTAATATTTCACTTGTACGAAGGTTATGGTAATTTTACGCAAACTCTTTTTACTGTGTTGAATAATAGGGCACCAAATAATAGTATCTATTGTGTATTTAGGTGGAAAAATGACACATTCTCGGCCGACGGTGTAAGTTGAACACCGAAGGCCGAGAATGTGCTTTTCCACCGAAATACACATACTATTTTTTCTGCAATCGGTTAAATACCTGTTAAATGTTTGTCTTTTAGTTCCAATTATTCAGCAATACGAGAATCACTTTCCCGGCCTAGGCCGGAAAAGTGTTTCCCGTATTGTTATTCAATTGATTCCTAGCAACTATTGAAACATAATTGAAATACCAGAATATTGGGTTTTGCGACCTGTCAACCGGTCAAAAATGCTGACATTTCTTGTCAATCGCAGAAAAATATATTATTAGGTTTTAATTTAATTTTTAGCATCTGAATTATTTTTTAAATTATTATTATCTTTGAATTATTAAGAATCTCCAACATTCGCCTACTCTACAGAATTATCAAGAGCCGCTGGGAAAATTTTGCTTACAATATATAGAAAGTTAGGTATATAAACACATAAAATAAAATATTCTTTATACAGGGTGTACCATTTAAAACGAAACAGGAAAATATCTGATACCATCACGTTTATTTTTTTAAAAATCGCTCGTAGGTATAGTATTTCCAAACTCAATTGGAACAAGGTATCAACTGGTGGCTGACTGGAAAATTCCATAACAAATACACTGCCACTAGTCAGCAACCGCAGTCATAATTTATGTTCACCTTGTTCCAATTGACTTTGGAAAAACTATACACGTACTTTGATTTTCAAAGGAAAGGGAGAAGTTTTCTGCAACCATTTTTAGCACTTCAACTTAAACGCCCTAGGCAGGGTGGGACCCACCTTTATTATTTCAAATGGACCAAGGGGTCGAGTGATACCTCTTTTAAAAGAGTGTTCAATTCTCTCTCATATGATGTGATTTGAAAGAAAATTGAACGCTATTTTAAAATAGGTATTATTACTCGACCCCTCTTCCATTTGAAATGGTAAGGGTTGGTCCCACCCCCCCTAGAGGGTCAAGTTAGTGCTACAAATGTTTCAAACACTAAACACTCACACAATCAAATTACGTGTACGAGCGATTTTTATAAAAAATAAAAGTGACATTTAAATAAGTCAAAGTCAAAGTCAAAAATAGCTTTATTCGCATCTAACATAAATATGTACAAAGGCTTGGTAATAAAATGTAATTGTAAATAAGTATCTAAAACTATATATAAATACCTACATAAAAAAAGAGTATAAAAAAATAAAATTATGTCATCAGATACATACAATAGAAAAATGAATAAAACAGGTAATTCAAACATGACTTAAATCCCTAAGATGTCTTATGGACACAACAAAAAAAAAATAATAATAACATATTATGTATACATTGACAGGAATACAGGAAAATAAAATGTCACAAGGAACACCTAGACAATGATAGTACAAATATTAAAACTTAACCTAAGAGATCGGTAAAAAATTCGTCCAAGGTGTGATATGCCTTTGTTAGCAATAGCCTCTTAACCGACCTTCTAAATCTCCTGATTTCTCGAGAGAAAATTGGTTTCTGGTCTCTTGGTCTCCGGTCCCGTTGAGACGAATCGAGATTCGAGAATCTCGGCGGCACCACTGTCCACTAGTTATTTCGTCCTGATTAGTCACTACTACTCACTAAACGGTATTAGGTATCTGTTTTAGTAATTCTTATTGAAAGTTACAGATCTGCTGAAAAGGATTTACAAAACGCCAATTTTGAAGAGAAATATCCAAGTAATTTTTTGAAAAAATTCTTACGGACCACTCTAAATGATTGGGTAATTTGTATTCTCTATCATCTCTAAGATCGAAATCGTATAAGTGGTAGGTCAACAATGAAATATCGTGAAACTATTATACTTTGTAGGCATACCCCTTCAAAACTTAAAAATTACATCACCAAATCGTGCAAAACCTTACTAGTAGAAGACATATCTACTGAGTTGGGGTCACTATTTATGTATCTCTGGTGATCACTCCCAAGTTCCTCAAGATACCGGCACAAAATTTTGTCTGGCGTTATAGAGCAGGCACTGGTACCAACTGTTAAAATGCCGAAATGGCCGAAACGCGTTTAGTTTTGTTTGGAAGCCGGTAAATTCAAAATGTCCGGAGGTGCCCTATGTCCGAACTTGTTCCACTCTACCCTACCTATTTTATTAATTTGAGATCCTACATCCTACAAGCTAAATCTTTTGTAGGTTGTTAGTGTTAGTGCATACTTACATTTACTTTATGGTCCTATGAAATAGGAGATAATACTCTACATCTACAGGGTGTTCGCAATACTGTCATCATCATCATAAGCGATCACTCGATACCGAATATGATTATCTTTTAGGAAGTTGGAACTGTTTTTCAGGAAGTTAAAACTTTCCATCAAGAAATGGATAGTGTTCAAAAAAGAATCAAAAAGTAGGAATGTAACTTGAGATCAGAGTGAATGAAAATTTTATATATGGAATTAGAAATATGGATGTATGTACAGAGAATAATGCTGCTCATAACCAAACCATCAAATAGCAGGCAAGCTCTAGTCAAGGCCCTAAAAAACGAGGCACCTATATAATTTCCAAAGCAAAGAATAGAGCTGTGTCGACTCGTGAAGAAAAAGAGTCAATGGGAGAAATTAGTGGCATCATAATGAAGTAATTTCTGGAAGAATTAGGAAAGGACTTTGCTAACGGAATCAAACTGGGAAACTTGAAAGGAAGCATTAAATGTTATTGCTGAGGAGAAAAAAGGAAATTTTAAGCTTGATTGTAGAGTACGTTTGAGATCTCGCTTTCCTTTTAGTTTTAATGACTCCCAGCAGTCCCAGCCTGCAATGGATAACTTGAACAAGAGCTCCGAATGTTACCGCTGCGGTAGAAGAGGATATTTCAAACGTGTGACTGACAACCGAGATCTCGCTCTCCTTCTGATGAATGCCAACCTTCGATTGAGAACTAGCAACGCCGAGCATGCCCAGATGAAGACAAGGGCTGAGTTCGGGCAGTTCGGCTTTGCACTCCACGGAGCGGAACGGTATGAGCATGGATATCGTGACGTCATACGCGGTCATAAGCTCAACGCAAAAGAGAAGACTCTGAGAGCTAAAACGAACAGGATCTTATCGTTTCGAGCGCGCTAAAGCCGAACTCGGCCAAGAACTGCTTTAGAATTGATCAACTAGAAAGAGTTCCTGTTATACGCTTTCCATTGGATGCGGATGAAGACCGAGTCCCGAACAGCTGCGATAAGTGATCAACTGGAAGAGAGTGATCTTGACCTCGGATAATTCATCGACATTAGAGAAGCCGGGGAAAGATAAACGAAATGTAGAAAAGAAAAATCTGGCAAGCGAAAAAAGAAAGACCAGGACTAAAAAGGACATTTCAGAATCCAGAGTGTAGGTACTCTGCAGCTATATATCTGAATAACTTTTACAGAACGCCACTTTTGAGGAACCGATCTACAAAAGTTCTTATTTTTCAGATCTTTCTCAAAATCTGTATATTATTTTCCTACTTTCCTCTATCTACTTATATACCCATTCACTATTTTGGGATTTCCTGCTTCATAAATATTTTTATTTAAAAATTACTCCACAGAGGAATCCACTCCTGAATAATAAATTCAAGTGAAATAAAGTTACAATTATACCAAAATGTTTCCCTTGGTCATGGAACATTAAAGCGAAACCCAACTAAAAACCCAAAACACATTTACCAGAGTACCAGACGAACTGCAATATAAGCAGAAAGGATGTATTTTGGGCACTGATAAATAACATGTGCAATGGTGCCCAACTTGGCAACAAAAAAATAATAAGAATTAATGAAAAATTGTTTGGGATTTACCGAGACGAATGGGACGCGCCGCAGTCTACGTCATTAGTGATGGCAATGGGCCGCGAAAAGTCGCAAGATATTTTCGTAAGAGCCTGATGGTGACTGAGGATTGATGCATTTTTGACTTGAGCATGAAAGACATAAAACTATTAAAGGCAATTTAAAATCTAGAGAAACGTGGAAAAAAGAACTATGCTCACTCATTTTGCATTTTCCACAAAAACTAGTCTAGGTAGGTACTTTTCCGCAACAAAAACTCAATAAAAATGGTACTATCATTCTTCTGAGAGATCCTTCTTTCTCAATCATTATTATTATTATTTAGTCATCCATCCAGGGAATGGATTTCGTCAACTCTTTTTTATAATTAATTGAGTCAGACATAGACTAATCAGTCTTTCCTGCGCCAAACTGACAAGGTTTTAAGACATCGGGGGGAGAAAAAATGATAATTTGTATTCATCTTCAGGCAGAAGTTGTAATTAATTTCTTATAAAAGAAAAATAAGAAACACACATTTTTATCTATATAAACAGCCAACAAACAAATATTTCATGGAATGCAAAATACAATACCTAAGAATAATAATTATTATTATAAATTATGTGTACTAAATAATTAACATTATTCATTCGAGTATTAAATATTAGGTATTATCATATACATAGAATTTGAAATTACTGATTTGATACATTATTTTACATTAAACAAATAGGAATAAATATTTTTCTTGAATTTAAGATTTGGAGAAATAAAAAATGAGAGCTGTTAAGTAACTTACATTTGAATGTTACAAAATTCTTCAAACAATATCAAAACTGGCAATTTGTCACTTAACAGGTTTAACTTCCAAGCTTCTTTTAATGTGGACAGATAATTGCCTAACATCTATTTTTGTTCATTTTCATAGTCACAAATCTGACTATTTATTACACATAGCCTTACATAAAAAATAATCATTATAATACATAATACATCAACATCTAAATACAATAGAACATACAGCCTTACTTAAAAACTTATTCTAATGAGTTCAACATTAACAATTGCTTAAGAACTTTGGTTTGAGAAGTTTCTCTAATTTCACCCGCCAAGAACATTTCATCTACGACTGTGTACACTTTGTAAAAATTAAATACCAAATCTAATTCGCATACATTATGAAAGTATTCGTTTAGTACTTCTACGAAATTATGAATTGCTTCGAGGTAACATAGGTTGTTGTCGTTGACATCTACGCAGATACAGAAGTATAAGCCGGCATAGCGACGATAGACGATTTTGAAGTTTCGGAACTGGAAAAGACAAATCAAGATATTTAGAACAAATTAATACAAAACAAAATTAAGGAATCTTTTATTGAGATACATACATAATCACAATATTAAAATTAAAAGGGTGTCAAAATTACAAAAATCTTCCAATCATTAACATTCCAATGCTGATAATTTCTGTATTTTTGTACTTTATCCTTTCTGATGATTTTTTGCCAATCTATTTCTTCATTCACAATGTATACACAAATATACTACAACTTAATGTGGATACAAATAAATAAAAGAAACCCTTACAGCAATAACCCCAAAAGCCAAAGAAAAGTAAATAATTTTCAGTGTTCTAAATGGTAACATATTTCTTAACTCATAAAACTTGTGAATTATTTTTCTTTTAATGAAATTATCACACTTACATTGCATGTTCAATTTGCATTGTGGATCATGAACTCTAAGGTGTTGCATTTCAAACAGGGTAGGCTTAGAAAGTGAGAAGGTAACAAAGTTGGTTTCGTCAGTATTCAGAGAGAGTAAACTCATGTCTAACCATATTTCAACTTTTTGTAGTGCCCTTTCAGCCTTCTGTCTCACTAAATCCGAATCCCCCCGCTTATTCTAATTGCAAAACAATAAATGTCACCTTGTTGAAGCTGTTCCATTATTTCATTGACATATACATTGAATAGCAAAGTTGAGAGGACTGTACCCTGCGTCACCCCATGATCCACTACTCTCGCCTCACTTTTTTGTCCTGATACATTTGTAACTAACTTTCTTGTCGTCAGATATGATTTAATCAGTTTATTTGGCATTCCTCTGATTCCAATGTCATCCAAGCGCCTTAGTAGAACATGGTGAGCCACAGTGTCGAAAGCCTTTCTCAGGTCCAAGAAAATTCCCATCACTTTTTTCCCCTGGTCAAGGTCCCACAATATTGTTTCTATCACCCTTACAAGAGCATTCTCAGTGTTAGAGTTTTCCCTGAATTCATATTGGTTTATGTTTAATAGCTTAAACACTTTTCTACAATTTTGCTAATAGTACTCATAAATGCTATTGGTCTATAATTGTTAGTCGACTTTTTTGATGGGACTCTTCAAGACTTCTGGGAAAACTCCCTCACTGATTATATTAATAACGTGCCTCAGAGGAACAACCAACTTTTCCTTAAACCTTTTAATTATATCTGCAGAAATACCATCTTCTCCTCCCTTTACCCCATTTTTCAAACTTCCTATCTCCCTAAGAACATCATGCTCTCTAATCTGGCCCAAATAGAAAGAATCTACACTTCTCTTTCTACGCACATACCCCTCCTGATGCATTTGATTGGCGTTATATATATTTGGTCATTGGTAGCCTCTTTGATAATCTGCCACATTTTTTTTGGATTATTGGCGTTTATTTTAGTGAGAGATTTGTAATATACATACTTGGCATTTTTTATAAGTTTATTCAGCATTTTTCTGTAAGTTTTATACTTATTTAAACTTGCCTGATTATTCTGATTTGTTGTATATTCTTTTTTTAGTTTATTTCTAGTTCTAATGGATATCAAGAGGCCACCAGTGATCCATGGTTTCATCTTCTCTTTGTATTTGTAATTTACTTCACTATAGTCACTTCGGAGATCATGGATTTCAGTCTATCTACAAACAGATTAGTACTAAAATTTACATTCATCTCCTACAGAATACCACCCCATCTCTCTCCTATTTTTCCAGATAACTTATTATAATCATATTTAATAATAGAGGTAAAGTTACTTGCACTACCTATTGGTGCTTCCAACTTAAAGTTAAGTAAGATGGGGTTGTGATCCGTAAGATCGCTTTCTAAAATTACAGATGTAACATCACTGAAGAGATAGTTCTTGCACCTGATAAAGAAGTGATCCAGGCAGGAGCCTCCATTTTCTGTTTTTCTTGTCATTTTGTTTATTGCACCCACAAATCCGTGACTTTGTATTAAGCTCAAATAGTTATAGCGACAACGCTTCTGAGAATTCCAGCAAGTTGATGTTTATATCTTCAGCAAATAAATATACTCTGTTTTGATCCCTGTCCGCACCCTGTAGAATTCTTAAGTTCTCAATAAATTCCTCCTTTGCGGTTGCAAAGCTTCTATAAGTAGCTAATACATCCATGACCTTTTGATTTTTTTTGTTTGGTAACACTAATGATCTTCAGGTTTTTTTCTTGCAATATTCTATCTTCCATGTGGTATTCCTGCTTTGCATAAATCAGCAATTGCACCTGTTAAGCTCACTTTCATTAAAACGTAATACATAGTATGTTAACTTTAACAGTTTGCAGTAGCGACTTCGCTACTGCAGTGTATACAATGCGTTTCTGATATGACTATTATATCAAAAGATTTTCCCATTGACTCCAAGAAAACCAAAAACTGCTCAAAATTCTGATATATGCTGCGTATATTAACATGCATTATGTTAACATCCTTATCACTATCATCAAAGCAGTAAGTATATTTATTTATTTTTCAATGGCAAGTGACCATACTAAATCTTAATAAATACATTATAGGTATAAATTTCAACAAAAATAAGGAAGTCGACTTGTAACTTGCAAACTTGAGTCCAGCTATCGAATAAGTTTCTTACAATAAGAGACAAAAGAAATAATGAAAGCCATAATTATTGGTTCTATGCCTATGAAAAAAGTAATAAAAACCATCTTGTGAGATTTAGCTAACACACAGCTCGACATATGGTTAGAACCCAATTTTCTTGATTATTTCCTGTGAATCACAGAGCCATGTCCTCCTGTGACCTTGTTTTGAGATTTTCATATTTAGATAGTAATTTTCCTCATAATTCTCCAATTCTGAGTAAGCAAAAATGGGATCAAAGAGCTCTACAAATAATTTGAAAACCTTCAAAAATATCAATCCACAGCCTTTTCTGTTAACCAATAATTATATGGTACTGATTCAAAAGAACACTAGTTACTCCAAGCAAAATCTGATGTGTCTGAAGAAACTGCTGGTGCAAAAGTCAAAGGAAAAAAATTGAAGAAAGTCCCAGAAAATCAATTGGCAGTTTTAGATTATAATGAGAGAAAGGCAGGGACAGATTTATCCAATCAGATGGAATTCTTTACATAAAATCGTAGTCAGTGGTAGAGAAAATTGGGCTTTGAACTTTTACTGGGAGTAACTCCTGGATTGCTTACAGAACAATGAAAACTTCAATTTGTAGTTTTCAAGAAACTTATTTACTGAAATTTTACAACTACACCAAGAGCAACCCAAAATGCACTGAAAAGAAAGATCAGAAGTGGATAATGTTGTTTAGCATAACATGATTGAAGATTATACTTATTTCTTATAATGAATATTTCTACCTCAATTTCTTCATTCAACCCTTGATTTAACCACATTTTATTTGAAAAATATTATACTTATAAACTAGGTAATATTATCTCTAGCCAGGTAGGTATTTAAGGAAATTTCAAGCAATTTTAGTTATTTAAAATTGGTTCATTTTCTTGAAGGTATAATAGTTGAAGGTTCTACAGAGGCTAAACAGATATATCAACTCTCATTTTGATCCTGAAGTCATGGTAATTCATATACAGCATGATGTGGAAATCAATGTGGGAACTTCTACATAAATATCTAATACTTATAGTACGGGATACGAGGCCTATTTCATCAAATCATTTTACACCGTCTTGCATTGTTATCATCAGTTAGATAACATGATGCTGAAACGCACTTGCGCAGTGAAATATATGGGAGTGGGGAATTTAGCTGATAAAAATGTTTGAGAAAATGTCGTCATAATCCAGGAAAATATACAATTTCACACCGTCTTGCATTTACTTATTAAGTTAATTTGTACACAAACAAAATTAGAATACCCTATGCAAGACATTTTCCTGGGGGTTTTCGGGTTGTAATATTAGATAGAAATTGTCAATTTTTCAGAGGGGTGAAATATCATTTCACACCACTCAATTGTTGATTTAGATTAAAGCTTGAATGTAGAATAGCCATTGGATACTGATGCAAGACGTACTGTGAGGGGATAATGGGCTGCAACACAGAGGTCAATGTGTTGTCTTATGAGGGAGGGAGAAATCATTTTACACCGTCTTGCACTGGTACTTATGGGAAAAATAGAACACATTGATAACATTTTTAAAAATACAAGACATTCTAAATGGGAAGAAAGGACTGCAAGACGATGATGAAGTTGACTAATTTTGACAAGGGTCAATCTATCAGGTACAAAGGTGAATACTACTTCAAATTACAAATTATGCACATTAATTTTAAATAGTTTTGCTCTTCACCACGTAGAATAATTCTATTTTGCGAAATTCTCCTAATAATATGTATATATGAATGTTTCTACGGACATCAAATAAAAAAAGATTGAAAATTGTTTTATTTTTGACGGCTTTTAATCATTTAGGTTCTCTTTGAGGTGGATATCCCATGACACATAACATGTTTTGTGCACATAACAGATTGTAAGCATTAAATTTGAAGAATTTCATTTTAAAGCAGCAAAAAAATGTGAAAATGACACAACAAATGATCTGTCTGAAATTGTAAACAAAAATTATAATTCCTGTATTCAACAGACTCCCCTGTTGAGCTGCTATGTCAACTGTCCTTTTTCATCTGTATGATTTAAAAAAGAATAAACATTGAACGGTTCAGTAAATAACTCAACAGTTCAGTGAAAAAATTAAAATGGATTTTTTAACTTTTTTCCCAGAAAAAACGTCTTGGACTGATGTAATACCATTTCTTAACATAGATTCTTTCGGCGGACATAAGCATGAAGTGGTGTAAAATAATTTTTCACTCCCTCATGAGACAACACATTGACATCCTTCTTGCAGCCCGTTATCCCTCTACAGGACGTCTTGTATCAGTATCCAGTGGCTATTCTACATTCAAGCTTTGATATAAATCAACAATGGAGTGGTGTAAAATGATATTTCACCCCTCTCAAAAATTGACAATTTCCATCTTATATTACAACCCCAAAACCCCCATGAAAATGTCTTGCATGTGTTAATCCAATTTTGTTTATGTACAAATTAACTCAATAAATAAATGCAAGACGGTGTATAATTAAATATTTTCCTCGTTTATGATGACATTTTCTGAAACATTTTTTTCAGCGAAATCCCCCACTCCTATCTATTTCCCTGCACAAGTACGTTTCAGTACCATGTTATCTAACTGATGATAACAATGCAAGACGGTGTAAAATGATTTGATGAAATAGGCCTCGTATCCCGTACTATTAATAAAACTATAAAATCATGACCGAATAGTTTTTAAGCTTGTACCTAACTACCTCAGATAGTTTGGTTTGTTTGATACTAGGCCTAGTAGAGTCCAACAGTATAATCCAGTGATTTTCTGAATGTGTCCTGATGATTCAGGATCAGGAATTGATTCAAATAACACCAAAAATAATGTAACAAAATGCATTTACAAAACTACATCCAATCAATGCTGATGATACAACCTTTTCTTATAGCTTTACCTCAACAAAATTGGTATGTTTAGCGTCTCGTACTGTAACTACTGCGTGCACTTCTTCGATTAGCTTTTGCTTTTCGTCATCGTCGAAATTCATGTACCACTTTGCTAGACGAGTTTTTCCGGCTCTATTTTGGATTAATATAAAGCGAATCTGGAAACCAAAAAATTGATATCAGCTCCAGAAAGGAGGCGTATCGTTTTTATTTTGATAGGACAAGAAAATATCGATTTAAAAGTAATTATTGTTATAGAATGTTTGTTTTTGTGAGGTATTATTTGAACATTTCTTACCATTTTATTTATTATTTAACTATTTTTTTATAAATTAGCAAATACTATTTTAAAAATATGAAAACGGGGTCAACTTTTTTCTTTTTTGTAAACGTCAAAACAATTTGTCGGAACTGTCAAAGTTAGGATAAAGAACTTTTGACATTTGACAAAGAAAAGGGCGATTTGCGTTTACAGGCAGGTATGTCCCGGTTACGGGTTTGGTAAAGCCTGGTTAATCGTTCAACCAAATTAATTTGCAGTAAATCTCATTCAATAGTTCGAGATTAAAATAAATGATCAGGATTGTATTGTAGAAGTTATCCCAGAACAAATTATTTGCTGTTTTCTTCCGTTAAAAACCAGCTCTAGTACAGTTCGAACCGACACTTCGAAGCGAGTGTCAAATGACCACTAGGTTGAAAAAAAAAAATGAAATGTGTGCATTATGTGCGCATATTTGAAGTGAAACTTCCTGTTTTACCAGCTAAAATTTAAATTCCATCCTACTTGTATATGAGTAGCAAGCGGTTGACAATTATTAGACTCAGTACACATTGAATATAAAAAAAAACGCTGTGTCTAGTCTCCCGGCACCGGTATTCATACGAATCCCGGTTTTGACGCGTTTTCGATGACCCCATCAACGACCGCCGGGATTTATCGTGGATCCCGGCTATTGGATTCAAAATTCAAAGTCGTGTTTCCCTTGCTGCTTGAAGAAGGCTTGAAGCTGTGATTAATTCCGGAATATTATTGTTTCTTGTTGTGATATTGGTATTAAGAGTGGTAAAGTACTTCGTTAATCCACTTTTCGTAGTAGTGATTTAAAAAGGGAATAGTATGGTTTATTTTCATTCATTATTCAGGACTATAGTTTTTTAACCAGCCTGTATCTCTGAAATAGGGTACTCTTGGACCCATATTTATAGGAATTTTTGCTCTTAATTTGAGATGTTGAATCCGCAGTTAAAATATTAACCTCTAATTTTAGAGCACTCTGTGTAATCTTCATAAGTTGTATTCCTTTCACACCTAGGAGGAGCTCCAGAACAGCTCCGGGGCTTCACGCGCTTATTCCCTTCGAAAAGTGTTTGTCGTACCACGCATCTGTTCCCTGCAAATCGGGGCTACTGAACACCGGAGCGAGTAGCTCGAGTGTTTCAAACTCTTGAAAGGAATACAACTATTATAAATCTGCCCCAATACCAATGAACATAATAATTATTAACATCTTGTATTGTATAGTAATAGCCGGGATCCACGGCAGTTATCGGTAGTTGTTGATGACGTCATTTAAAACGCGCCATAACCGGGATTCGTATGAATACCGAGGTCGGGAGGCTAGACACAGCAAGAAAACGTCACATAATTGTTCTGGAATAGCTTTTATATAGCCAATCCAAGAATCGTAAACTAACAGGAGCTGTATTCCTTTCAAGAGTTTAAAATACTAGAGCTATTCGCTCCGGTGTAGTCGCCCCGATTTGAAAGGAACAGATGCGCTAGCTTTCATCGCATTATGGTTCGAGTTCGGGCTTGAGCACTCAGGTGCAACAAACACTTTTCGACAGGGATAAGCGCGTAACGCCTCAGAACTGTTCCGGAGCTTTTTCCAGGTGTGAAAGGAATACAACTAAAGTCAAAATGACATTATGTTGGCGAGAGGAAAAACGAAAGGTTTATTTGTTTGTGTTGTTCGGAGCAAGCCGTTTTACACGGCAAAGTTTCTTCACGAAATTACTTACGAAATTGTTGCCTAAATATTTCGTAAGTCAACTTTTCCTGTTTTACACGACAAGAAAAAGTTACGAAATATTTCACGAATAAACTTTAGAAAATGTTCTATAGTTTTTGTGGGCGTGGCCGAAAATATGCGTGAGTTTCGGCGCACACTAAAAGGCAGTTTCTTTTTCGTGGAGCCCATGAATGCTTCATTGAATTTCCTATGTAATAGATAAAGATAGACTGTTCATCGGTGAAAAAAGTAATGCACCCAAAAACTTATATTATTGATGGCAAAACGTAACTGCGCCTGCGTATGACTAATATTTTCACGAAACTTTTGCTAGACTTTCATTTGCCGTGTCAAACAGGAAAAAGCGAAACCAAGAATAGAAAACTTACGAAATATTTCGGCAATAATTTCGTGAAGAAACTTGCCGTGTAAAACGGCTCTTAAGTACTTCCTGCTTTGGGGCGTTCTATGTGGGTGTCTTTGCCATAATCTGAAATATCACAGCTTAGTTCAAGTTAGTGCGATGCAAACAAACCGTTCAGTTGCGTGAAGCTCTAATGCACTGGAACGCCTATTAACAGCCTGGGGCGCTCTAGAGCGTCAGTTCTCGAGTCGGCAAGGCCTGCGATTGACATTACCACTACTAGAAGCATAGCAGCTCATAGTGGTGACTGATGACGTCAAACGCAGGCCTCGATGGGATGCTTGCGATTCAGGCTGTGCTTGTTTTTTCGTCGATTTTTATTGTGGAAAAGGTGATTTCAATAAGATTATAACGTTTAGGAATTCGTTTTTTTGACTTATACTGTTTTAAATTCGGCTAATGCATTTTACGCCAACAGTTGAGGTCTGCGGCTGAAATGGCAGACACTTTCAGTTCAATAGGCAGTTCTAATAGGTTGTGTTCTTGATCCGAACTATTTATTAAATCTCGAGATTGTTGAATAGGATTTACTTTAAATTATTGAAAAGATTACACTACACTAGTTAATGTGGCGCCTTCAATTACTGAGCTATGTATGCAGCGTTACCAAATTGAAAAAAGTACCAAGACCAGATCGGTTGGATCTCACTAACCGGTAAGGTCGAAAATTAGTCATCGCAAAAATTGGAAGAATCCAAATTTAGGATCTACACAAGTACTGAAGTACTGGTAGATTCTGTTTAAGTCTTGCTTAATATGATTATATTACACTTTTCTTTTTTATTTCTTTTGTATCTTTTCTACGGTAATTGGACCTCTCCGAATTCCTCAAGGCTTTGTGGAGTTCAAATATCAATTCTCAAGCCCCCAACACGCCTAAGCACCAGTGATGACGGATCAGGGAGTCGTTTTTCGCCTTGACGTTGAGTGTTTTAGTAGTACAATAAATTATGAACATTCTAAAACAACCTTTTTTGGATCTCGTTTCCATCTTCCTCTTCGCCTATTAATGTTAATCAAAATTAAATTATTTTCGTATATTCTAAACCACGACCGCTTGCGCAAACTACTAGGTTCTGTTTCTACAGAAATCGCAAACGAGTCGGAGCGTTTTTGATTGGTCGAAATCGCGAAAAATCAGATTCCTGGGGCTGGAACTCTGACTATTTTCAACCAATGAAATTCGCTCTGACTGGTATGTGTTTTCTGTGTAAATAGACCTATTAGCGACACTGTTGATGACGTCAGCAACGGAGCAACAGCATATCCTTGATTCAAAAAATCGAGGCTGATGCCGATGCGATGAAAAGAGCGCTCAGTGCAAGATTTGAGAGCGTCCCATTGCTCAAGTCGGACAAGTGAATCTGGACTGAGAGTAACGCTCCGTTTTAAGCCGAACATGTGGAATCCGTTTCGGATCGCTTTTTGATCAATCGGGTGCAGTTTTGAGGCGCTATATGGAATATTAGGCGCTTTCTTCTTTCTACATTGCAAGTTTGTCATTCTCATTTTTTCAATATACTGAACAAAGATAGACAGATGAACCGATGTAAACTAAAGCAACGGTTTTTTTTTCTTTGTCAAATTGACAATTGACTTTCGGCTTTTGTTGATTTTATTGTTTGTGTACTTTATTTGCGGGGTCATGTCTGTTTTGGTCCGGAAATATTTAAATAAATTAATTCATTGAAATTAATTGAATAAGTGCATTGAATTGTGGCCCCTCCGTTAAAATCAATTATTCAATTTAAAAGGTAAGAATTTGTTCGTATTGTTCTGGCCGTTTCGAATCGCGTTTTGTTGCCTGTTGAAATAAGTTTGAAAATTTTTTTGCTCCCCTATAAAATCCACTTGTTTGTTTTTATTGAAAAATATATTTTTATCTTTCCGTAGATAACGATATCCGATCACAAATGAACAATTATACTCAATGTGTTACCAGCAAACCATGAAGAATTTATAATCGATTTTTGGATTTTTTTTTTCGAGGAAGAAATGTAACCAAAGAATAATGTTTGTTGTCGAGTTTTATGCGGGCTTTATTTGCCTTTGTTTCCTATTTGCTGAGGCTTTGTGTAAAGGTAAGTGCGTTCTTACTTAATCAAAATAATTAGTTTAGTATGTGTGTTCCTTTAAAAGTCTTTGGGGAATCCCAAAATCCCAAATTAAAAATGTTATCAGTAGAGTGGAAATATTATGAAACATTGAATTATTCAATTAATGCGAAGTACAATCAAGACAGTAAAGCTTAAGTTTAAAGCTCTGTTTAAGCCATTCAAATTCCATTTTTCCCCAAAATTGTATATTAAACTTTTTATATTGAATTCAAGATTAATTATAAGTTCAAATTTAAAATAGTATTATTGAGAATATTAATTTAACTGTATTCTACCACCTATGGGAATGTATGGGAAGAAGCCATCAAGTCAAAGTATTATTTGTTCTGGTGTTATCAAAGTTTATCAATAAACAGAAAATTTTGATTTTTTCCATAATGGAATCTAAATTAACAATTATTATTTTCAGTTACAAAAGGAGAAACAAAATAAAGCAACAATTTTTTTTTACAATAATTCACATTAAAATCTCTAATTTACTGCTTTTTGACCAGGTCAAAAAACGGTGAACCACTAGGGGTAGTGCGACGTGACTGTGAAAAATAATGAATGAATGAAGAATTTACAAAATTTTACATGATTTTGCAAAAATGCAAGTATGAAATAAACAGAAGGATTATATTTTTTGAGTACCCCCTGTAGATAGAAATTGACTCTTCACATCTAACATGGCCAATAAAAATAGGAGTCAATTTATTTTATCACTTTTTGTATCAAAGTTCACCTTTATTGAAAGGATTTCTTCGCATTTTGGGTAGCCACATACCCTCCAATGTATTTTGGAAGCCAGTCATAGGATCGTCTTGGGCCCATGAGAACTTTTGATCAGGAGATTGAGATCTAGAACATACCAAAATTTCATCACAATCGTGGTATTTTTAGAATTCCATTTATTGTTGACAATCTGCTTTTTTTGGCCAAACCGAGGGGTCAACCACTATGCTTACAAAAATATACAATGATTTCCATATTTGGCAATCACTGATCAATGGATCACATGTATTCCCATCCCAAGAATTGCGACTGATTGTCAATGATTTTCAGATATTTTTGTATGATTAAATTACCAGGTGATTTCCATTTTTTCTGGGGATTCCTATATCATACTCAGTTGATTACCTGATTTCCTTGATGATTTCCTACAATCATCCGATTTCCAGCTGATTTTATTACAAAAACTTTGCTTAGTTGTTAAGCTTCGCATTGATATGACCAAAATAAACAATCACATTTCCACTGGAAAATTGGCAACTCTTCCAAAAGTTAGCAAATTTTATTTTCATCACCCACATAGATTTGGTTGTAACTATAAATGGTTTTGAGCCCTAGATACCATTGTATGTCTACACTGTATAACATGAATCTAAAATAATGGATATTTTTTTGATTTCACTAGAATCTTCATCTGTATCAGAGACATCTTCAGTTAGGATTTCACTCGATAAACTTATTTCTTATTTTGATTCAGATGTGCTATCGTCTCTGCTTCTCAGTTCTCACTCAGCCTAGTATTTATTTTACTTTTCCCTTTCCAAATTGGTATTGCCTTGGATTCCCGACTTTTTCTTTTGTCTCTTCCTCAGGGAAATTCCCATAACTCTTAATACTCGATCGACAAGCGTCCCTGCTTCTCTGAAAAGAACCAAATTACAGTTGAGCCCTGAATAATCTCTAAATTGTAGCGAATTGCAATTGCTAAATCCTGATGTGTGAAGAAATTGTGTGTCTTCTTTTGGCAAGTCGGATTCGAGAGATGTTTCGAGATTGATGTTTTCATTTTTATGCTCTAAAACATTGTCATACTTTAAGTCTGTTCTCACATAAATCACAAACCAGTCATTGGTTGTAACTCGGGTTGAAATAGTCAGAAAACCAGACCTGACTGGTTTGTGATTTCTGTGAGAACAGACCTAATCTTCATCTCGTTCTTCTTCTTTAAGTTCTAAACTCTCCATAGTCTCAGGTTCAGTTATTGAGAAACGCGTTGAGATATCAAATTCATTCTGAATTGTCTAACTCTTCAATGTTGCATTAAACTCAAAGGCAAATACACAACTGACTGGTACGCTGTATCGTTTAAAATGTATAAGCGATTTCTGGATTAGAATGAGATGATATTCCCAGCGATAACCACATGATTCTCAGCGATTGCCAATGGATTCCTTTGTGATTCCCATGGAGTCCTAGGAGATTCCTAGCGTTTCCGAGGTTTTTCCCAGGGACTGTCAAGTGATTTCCATATATTTCTGATTGATTACTATGTTCTCAAAAAATTGTACAATGATTCCCACTAGTGGTTTACCCCTTGTGCCAAACATATACTAATTTAGTTCTAATTTCAAATACTTTATTCCACTGTCTGAATTTTGACAACCCCTCAAATAAATCAATTTTGGTAGAAAACTGCACAGTTCAGCCGTAGTCCTCCTGATTTATTTGTATTTTGCTAAAACTTTGATGGTCCAAGTAATTCAATTCAATTCAATAATGCTCAAACTCTACACTTATTAGTTTAGACTGCCACACAACATTAGTTAGATATTTTCTTATCATAATTAATAATAATCGAGTTAATAATTAAATAATTGATTTTTTAAGTTAAGAGTGCGCTTGTCGATGCTGAAAAACTAGGTATTTCTGTTTTAATGTTTTAATAAAAACCTCGATAAAAACAGTTGCATCTAGTTTTAATAAAAACAGTTGCATCTAGGGAATTCTAACAAAAACTATTTTTAAGAATGTACTTTTGTGCTTGCTTGACCAGTAATTTTTTTTTGAAAAAAAAAAAATCATAAAATGAGAAAAAAAAAAAAAAATTACTGGTTAAACAAGCACATAAAAATATCCTTGAAAAAAGTTATCAGTTAAAATTTCCTAGATGCAACTGTTATTATTAAAAAAGCAAAGGCGCACTCGCGATCTTCAGCATCGAGAAGCGCACTCTTGAGTACCACTTCAAGAGATCAAAACATAACATAAAATAGACTAAAATGTTAATACTATAAGTACATAAAAGAAAGCGGAAACAACATTATTTAAAACATATACATTTACAGAGGGAAGTAATTCACAATTTATGTTGGACTATCAAACAACCCCATTATAAAACTGAATAATTTTTCCTTGAATTCGCAAAAAGTTCAGTTCATCAATATATAATTGGAACAGTAAAGGGCCTAAAACTGTGCTCAGGAGGCACTCCACTGTTGGTAGCAAGAGAATTGGAGTACCTACCAGAAAGCAAGGCACGTTGACGTCGACCCGAAAGATAGGACCTGAACCAAACCAAAGCGGTCCCCCTGAAACCAAAACACTCCAGTTTTGAAAGCAACAGCCCATGATCCAGACACTCAAACGCTTTGGAGAGATCGCAAATTACCGCTGCAGTTGATTCTCTGCCAATCACTTTAGAGAGTGTGGATAAAATAGAAATTGGTCGAAAATTAGAAGAATTTTCCTGAGGGGGTAACGACACTCGCAATACGTGTACATTTTCTGATAAAATTGCGGGCAATCTCTCGCAGTCGTAAGAAAATCCCACCTTCTCAATGGGCAGTCGCCGCAATCGCTGGCAATCCATTCCGCAATCCCGCAATCACGGCCACAGTGGGGGAAATTCTATGAAAGGGCATGTTTTTAATGATTGTGGCAGTCGCGGAAATCTCACAATCTTTCTACAATCGCGCCAATCACCTACATTCTTGGGTAGTGGGGAAAAAGTTGGGATAAACTCAACTTCTGAAATTGCCTGGGAACCAGGGACGGAGTCATGGGGGGGTGGCGCCCCCCCCAAAGTTCCTATAATATATCGAAAGTTGGGAAAACTAGGATAAAAAATTTAGAGTTGGGAAAAATTGGTAGACAAAAATTTGCGCACCTTATTCGCGAGGACTAATTAAAATTAACATGAGGATCGTGTCACGTGTCGTAATGAATTGCAAAATCACCGGACAACAGAATGACGAAATCCCAATGGTCGCAGAGAATTTCTTGCGTTGCACTTTGCACTGCACTAACGCCACTAGCCTGTGGCAGTGGCACGTGACACTTGTGGCAGTAGTAGCATTAGCACCACTAGCGCTATATAGTTTATTAGTTCTGCGCATTCTTCGCTCGTTATTCAGATTTCAGCATAACTCTGAATCCTGGTGCTCTTGAGTTAAAGAAATAGTTTTTAAAAAGTTTCACTTCTTAGTTCTTAACACGTGTACGATGCTACACATGATTTTTCTGAAGTGAAACTTCTTACGCGGCAGTCTGATTTGGACGAGAATGGAATAACACGTTTTGGCAAATTTCGGCACACGAGAGACGAGAGAGAAGAAAGATATAACGTAGAGAGGCGGAGAAAGACAGCGAATGATAATGACAGCCGACGAACGATTGACACAAACCAAGTGAGAGAGCGTGACTCACGGCGAGTTTTTGTGAACCCAAGTAAGAATAGGTAATGCGCGTATTACTTCGCAGCGTGACGTGACGCAGTTTTGGTCCTGCGAAACGCAGTGTATTTGCCGCAGTGGCAGTTTTTCTCGTAGAGTTACAGTGCGTGTTCTGACGCCCACAGTCACAGAAGAAGATGTTCAAAACTACATAATAAACAGCACACAAACAGAAACCAAATGCTATAAAATGAAAACCAAGAGTAGCAGCTATAAGAGCTCATTTAAAATAGAGGTATTGGAGAATGAAGCAGGAAAAATTATGACCTCAGATATATGGGGTGAGGGGGTCATAATCAACCATTTTTTGCATGCCAGACGAAGCCTACAAACACAGGCAAATTAAAGGATAGTGCAGGAGAAATATTAAAACATATACAAGAAAAATGCGAAGCAAATTTTCAAGTGCTTCACTACAATGCCCAATCAATAAGGGATATCACAGACGAGCTGGATGCATTTAGCTGTGATAAAAACATTAAAATAATGTGTATTACAGAACACTTTCTAAATTCAGAAGAA